TATATAATTTTTTATTTATTTTTTTTATTTTTTTGAAGGCAAGTGTCATTTGCTTTTAGACAAACAAACAAAACAGGTTTAAACCAAAAACCATAATTTTGGATTAGACACAAAGACCATTAGACCAAATACATTTTTTCATGGCTTTGATCATATTTACTAAGTGTGCCAATATTTGGGCACTGTGTGTTAATTTCCAGTGAGTGAACTGTTATTTTAGCCTAAATTAATGTGATTTTTTTAGTAAAAGCATGCAAAACCTAATTGCTAACTTACTGTATCTTTCCTAAGGTGTCAAAGATCCTCGCTTGTACTCATGTCCAATATATAAAAAGCCTGTTCGAACAGACCTGAACTACATCGCAGCTGTTGACCTGAGAACCAGTCACCCCCCAGAATACTGGATCCTGAGAGGAGTGGCCCTCCTGTGTGACGTCAAATAATAGTCTTTTAAAATAATTGTATACAAATGTAGATGTATTTCTGATCTCTTTCTGTATTTTAACTGATGATTACCCTGAACACCTGAATAAATAAACATGCACAGCTGTCTGTAGCACCATACATAAGACCCTTAGTACCACAGCAAGAGCCTTGACATCTAAATCTGTAAATCCATCATAAATATTGTCGTCGTACATCGTCATATGGTTTTCTGAGTGCCTCTCAAGACCATCTGCTGGGTCTCGTCTTTAAATGCATGAACCTTTGGATTAAAGGCCAAATGTACAGGTGCATCTCAATAAATTAGAATGTCGTGGAAAAGTTCATTTATTTCAGTAATTCAACTCAAATTGTGAAACTCGTGTATTAAATAAATTCAATGCACACAGACTGAAGTAGTTTAAGTCTTTGGTTCTTTTAATTGTGATGATTTTGGCTCACATTTAACAAAAACCCACCAATTCACTGTCTCAACAAATTAGAATACTTCATAAGACCAATAAAAAAAAAATGTTTAGTGAATTGTTGGCCTTCTGGAAAGTATGTTCATTTACTGTACATGTACTCAATACTTGGTAGGGGCTCCTTTTGCTTTAATTGACACGTCTGTGTGTGGTGGCTCTTGATGCCTTGACCCCAGCCTCAATCCATTCCTTGTGAAGTTCACTCAAATTCTTGAATCAATTTTGCTTGACAATCCTCATAAGGCTGCGGTTCTCTCGGTTGGTTGTGCATCGTTTTCTTCCACACTTTTTCCTTCCACTCAACTTTCTGTTAACATGCTTGGATACAGCACTCTGTGAACAGCCAGCTTCTTTGGCAATGAATGTTTGTGGCTTACCCTCCTTGTTAAGGGTGTCAATGATTGTCTTCTGGACAACTGTCAGATCAGCAGTCTTCCCCATGATTGTGTAGCCTAGTGAACCAAACTGAGAGACCATTTTGAAGGCTCAGGAAACATTTGCAGGTGTTTTGTGTTGATTAGCTGATTGGCATGTCTCCATATTCTAATTTGTTGAGATAGTGAATTGGTGGGTTTTTGTTAAATGTGAGCCAAAATCATCACAATTAAAAGAACCAAAGACTTAAACTACTTCAGTCTGTGTTCACTGACTTTATTTAATACACGAGTTTTCACAAACCTTCTCATAAACAAAACCTAACAATACAACCAGACATGGTTCTTATGTTTTAAAATGACAAGAAACATGGCAAAATAAAATAGCTAATCTTTCAAAGGCGGAGTTGTCTTTTCGAAACAAATATTTTTCAGTTCACATTCATTTTCCCCATGAAAAAAAGTGGGGAAAGTTCCCCTTTTCACTATAAAGTTTACAATTCTGTTCATTTGAAGATGCACTTAGAGTCACATGAATCGTCAGTGCAAACCATGGGTAAAATTTGATTTGATACACACTTTTGAGAAATGATCTTAGAACAAATTTAGGACGGTTTATACGCAACATTTTATAAATGAGGCCCCTATAGTGACTAACTTCTAACTTAAATTGTGCACAGTTTAGAACCAGAGACACACAGCCACCCTAGCTCTATTAAAGCCTACTGTATCATATTTGATACACATATTTCTAAGGTCTCTAAATTTTCTACATGATCAAACCTTGGCTGAAAAACCTGTTGTACACAATCTACATGCCCTCTAATAGTGTTTACATTTTTAAAGTAAAAGGCCTTTTAGTATAATTCTAAAAACGTCCTTTCGGTTGTGGTACACGTCTTTTTTTGCTGTGAAACCTTTTGCTGTGATTTTTAAATGTAAAAAAATAACATTTGTTAGTAATTTACATTTACATTTAGTCATTTAGCAGACACTTTTATCCAAAGCAACTTACAAATGAGTACAATAACATTTGTATAGTATATTATTTATAATAATTTATAATATTAGTATATTATTTATAATAATTTATAATATTTTGAGATGAACACACTGGACAGAGGCAACTTAGATTAATTGATTATCTGTACATCAAATAAAATAAAAATCACATTAAAATGTATCAAATATGATACATCAGGCTTCTGAGGATCATTTATTTGGCTTGTTCAACTCTCAATCATCATTGTATTGCATTGTGTTATATGTTTAGCCCCCACAATAAAAAACTACAGAGATTTGATCATATAACTAAGATTTTGTCTAAAGATTTAATAAACTCTTCCTACTATTATTTCATATGTCAGGCTTTACAGAGTTAAGACCTCTTTCATTTGGCCAACTACAACTGAACAATAAATACATTAAGGGATAAATATAAAGTTCAGAAAAAAATACTTTTTTTACTGCTGTTTTAGCTGATTTTTTGTCCACTTGTGACAATAAAACAGAGAAAATATACAAACACCACTCAGGACTTGATGGCAGTGGTCCACTGATCAAAGAAGGTGCACAGAGGTTGCAAAGAACAACTTTGTACACCTTATGTTAATTAAATGTGTGAAGGGGGAATAAAAGTATTTTCTTTATGAATGAAAACATGAAACAGACACTGATATAGAATACTATATTGCATTCATAACTCACATAGGGATATGTCCCTACTTTCCAAAGCTATATCTATATGCCCTTGGTGTAAATATGTGACACATCATGCACAGCATGTTAGTGACACAACACAGAAACGTCTAAGTGCTAGCTTATTCCTGTAATATGTAACTACAGTATATCAAAAACTCAATGTCTTAAAAATAAAGATGCCCTCAGAAAGACAATTACATATAAAATTTTATAAAGTTTTTAAAAAAGAGAAAGTAAAGCAATGGCATTAAAACATCAAAACACTTTTTGTTGTATTTGATTTTCATACAAAATAATTGCTACCATAATTACAGTAGTACCCTGTGCACAAACCCTGCCTATGAGATACAGTAGAAATGGTATCACTTTCAATACATCCAATACTCCGTGCATCTAAACTAGGCACAGTTATTTACAAATGTCTCTTTTATTCCCGTTTGTGGATGTTTGCAGTTCATTGCACATTTGTTGCTATGATTCATGGCATTACATTCCCCTGGGATAAAGACCGGCTCATCTCAGTATGGACGAAGTATGTTTTGAGCTCTCCTTTCCCTTTTACATTTATAATTCCTCTGCATGTGCACATGTAGCCTAATGTCTGCAAGATACGACTCGTCTCTTCTGTAACCTGCAGACACACACAAAGGAATTAAATAATTCATTACATTTATATAGCGCTTTTCTAGGCACTCAAAGCGCTTTACATTGTCAGGGGGTATCTCCTCGTCCACCACCAGTGTGCAGCATCCACCTGGATGATGCGACGGCAGCCATAGTGCGCCAGAATGCCCACCACACACCAGCTTATTGGTGGAGGGGAGACAGATTAAATGGATTAATGAGTCACTGTACTGCACGTTGTTCAAAGCATGAGCATTCTCCTAACTAGAATGCCACTGGTTTTACACAGTTACTTTTATTGTAATCAAACATCTCGTAAAAGGATTTGAGGCAATTTAAACATTTAAAAACAATAAAGAAGCAAACAATGGTTCTTTACAGTTAATAATAATAACAATAATAAATATAGCTGCAAGCAGCAATTAAGGGGCCAAGCACAACACAGGCAAAATGAGGAGTGAAGCATGGCATGGAGCATCAGACCAACTGCAACAATGAGTAATTAAAGCCATTTTAGGATGATTTTAGTAAAAATGGCTGAAAAATCATAAATATAATCACTAGTAATATGATTTTCTGGTTTATGACAGGAAGTTCGGCCGATTATGGCATAATTGGTATAAATGTTCTCGGTATGATCCAAGGAATCTATCAAGACCAGTCACATGACAATAGACAAAAATCTTTGAAAGCTATTAGCATTTTTTTAAATTTCATTATAATTTTTGACCACAAGCTGACATCAAACTTTTTGAGTATACCTTCAGAGCATGGTGCTGAAAAAAACATATCGAGTTTTGCAGCAATACGTTCATAAAATGTTACATTTTGAAACTAAATTCAAAATGGCCGACACCCAACATAGGAAAATTGGGTATCTTTCGACTCGGCATGCTGTTCTGAATCTAAATAGACAAGTCTTGTGATTTTTGGCAAAAGCGTTCAGAAGTTATAAGCAAAAATTACCATTTGTCATACCTCCAGACCACTAGTGAAACTGTGCAAGTAACCTCAGGTCATGATTATCATAAGACACACCAGGTTAGGTCTGGATATGACAAAGCGTTGGAGAGATATAGCCCCATTTCCGATTTGCTGAGCTTTTCATCTAATTCGTTTACACGGTTTTTGAGAATGGATGGGGGTATCAAACAGCTTTTGATAACTTTTTGCCAGCATGGTCTGAAGATGATCTGAGACAATTTTAGTGAAAATCAGACAAACAAACCATCTAGGACAAGTTCGAAAATGTAGGTTTTTCGATCTATTAAAAATTGTGAAAAGTCTTGACCAGTAGAATTTTACATTTTGGTGTCCATTCAACTCGGCATGAGCCAAGGAATCGGAGGAACATTTTTTTTTTTTTTTTTCTAGACCTTACGGTTGAAAAGTTATTAGCATAAACATGAGTGCAAATTTGGACAAATGGTGGCACTAAAGAGTTTGAATAAGGGACACCAAATTTGCTGTGGTTAATGTTGAGACTGTCATCTATCAGTGACAAACTTCATAACTTTCCTGCAAGTGGTTCTATGGGCTGCATGGGCTGGCATAGACTTCCAGAGCGGAAGAAGAAGAAGAAGCACTTTAAGGCATTTAAGCGCATATGAAAAAATATATTACATTATTTAGTATCACTGACCTACAGAATCCAGAGAATTGTACTGCATGTGCTCATCCAGTTTTGTGAAGTTTTGAGTTTTGACTTTATAGGCTTTGGGGGTATATTTGGCCACACCCATTTTCTAAATGACCGTTATAGCTATCCAAAGGGGAAAGTTCAACATTTTTTGATAATTATTGACTTAGAGAGTCCAGAGAACGGTACTGCAGATTTATTTATTTTTTTTGAGGTTAAGTGTAAAACCTACAGTAGTTCGCAAAAGTATTTTTTTTTTAATAATGTCAAATATTTAAAGAAGAATTAGATTGACAGCAGTGGTCCTAGAGGCAAAGTTGTTCAGAATGAGGAGATCGATCATACGATGTGAAGATCTAGTGTATACGTGAATATATGAACATTTTCTGCAATTTGAGGTAATTTACCATATAAATATAGTTTTTTTGAAGCCTTTTTAACTATTATATTGCCACCTGTGGTCCGATCTGCATGAAACTTTGCGTGCTTGTTCAGAATCACCTGTCGCATGTGCTCACCTAGTTTCGTGAAGTTTTGAGTTTTCATTTAGGCTTTATAGGCTTTTGGGTATATTTGGACACACCCCTTTTCTAAAAGACCCTGTTATAGATACCCAAATGGTAAAGTTCAACATTTCTTTTTTTTCGGTTGAAAAGTTATTAGCATAAACATGAGTGCAAATTTGGACAAATGGTGGCACTAAAGAGTTTGAATAAGGGACACCAAATTTGCTGTGGTTAATGTTGAGACTGTCATCTATCAGTGACAAACTTCATAACTTTCCTGCAAGTGGTTCTATGGGCTGCATGGGCTGGCATAGACTTCCAGAGCGGAAGAAGAAGAAGAAGCACTTTAAGGCATTTAAGCGCATATGAAAAAATATATTACATTATTTAGCAAGCCTGTAACCACCTAAATCAATGATTTTGGCAAATCCAGGTAATTTACCATAGGAAAAAAAATATGATTTCTAACGTTTATGCTGTTATAGCGCCACCTATAGTCGAATTTCTATAAAACTTTGCATGCTTGTTTAGAACCATCTATCACATGTGCTCACCTAGTTTCATGAAGTTTTGAATTTTCATTTAGGTTATATAGGCTTTTGGGCATATTTGGCCACACTCCTTTTAAAAACGACCCTCTTATAGCTAAACAAAGTGTAAAGTTGAACCTTGACAGCAGTGGTCCTAGAGGCAAAGTTGTTCAGAATGAGGAGATCGATCATACGATGTGAAGATCTAGTGTATGTGTAAATGTAAGAAAATGTTCTGCAATTTGAGGTAATTCACCATAGAAATACAGTGTTTTTGAAGCATTTTTAACTATTATAGCGCCACCTGTGGTCCGAGCTCCATAAAACTTAGCATGCTTGTTTAAAATCAGATTGGGTTCACCTAGTTTCGCTAAGTTTTGAGTTTTCATTTAGGCTTTATCCACCTTTTTCTTCAACGCGGAAGTAAGCCTATGGGTGAGACTTCCGGTTCATTAGCTTCATAACTTTCCTGCAAGTGGTTCTATGGGCTGCATGGGCTGGCATAGACTTCCAGAGCGGAAGAAGAAGAAGAAGCACTTTAAGGCATTTAAGCGCATATGAAAAAATATATTACATTATTTAGCAAGCCTGTAACCACCTAAATCAATGATTTTGGCAAATCCAGGTAATTTACCATAGGAAAAAAAATATGATTTCTAACGTTTATGCTGTTATAGCGCCACCTATAGTCGAATTTCTATAAAACTTTGCATGCTTGTTTAGAACCATCTATCACATGTGCTCACCTAGTTTCATGAAGTTTTGAATTTTCATTTAGGTTATATAGGCTTTTGGGCATATTTGGCCACACTCCTTTTAAAAACGACCCTCTTATAGCTAAACAAAGTGTAAAGTTGAACCTTTATAAGACACACCAACTTTCAATATCAAGCAGCAAAACGAACTGTTTTGTTCAGCTAAAAATAGCTGGACGGAGTGGACGCAGATGAGACCGGAAGCCAGACCCATAGAATTTACAAATGGCCACGCCCATTTTTACGACAAGAAAAAGGTGGATAAGGCTTTCGGGTATATTTGGACACACCCCTTTTCTAAACGACTCCGTTATAGCTAACCAAAGGATAAAGTTCAACTTTTTTTTTTGATAATTATTGACGTAAAGAGTCCAGAGAATTGTACTGAAGTAGTTTTTTCGAGATCGATTATCCAATATCCAATTGTTTACGCCCTTGAAAAAATGTGATATCACCCCCCCAGTGGCCGATTTCTTTCAAATTTCTCACAGACCTTTAGGGCCATGAGTCAAACACACACACTGAGTTTCATTCCGATCGACCTCCATTAATGTTGTCTAATAGGTGCTCAAAATTCATTTTTTGAGATACGCAAATTTCCTTATAGACACTTGTAGCACTTTGGACCAAGACACTGCATACCAATTTTCATGTTAATAGGACAAATGGTTGCATAGTTATAGCCATTTTTATGTTTTTCCCTGTCATAGTGCCAGCAAGTGGCCAAGCTCCGCAATTTTTTTTTTCATGTGACCTCAGATTAAGATCTTACATAACTTTTCTGAGTTTGGCGAAGATGTGTGATTCCGTTCAAAAGTTATAGCCATTTTAGTAAAAGTGGCCCCCTACCCCTTTTTAACATTTTGGCGTCCCTATGTGATAGTGAGTCGAAAGTTGTTTTTTTTTTATAATTATTGATATTCACTCTCCAGAGAATCTTTCTACACTGGTTTGGTTCCAAACAGGTGAAAAACTTAGGACTAGTTCGCAAAAGTAGGCAGTGTGAGTACTACAATCCCTCCCAAGTTTCAAGTCTCTACAATTTACGGTTTGGTCTGCCCGATCAGTTTTATGTGGAGATTGATGATCCTAGGCCATTGTAACAATTACAATGGCCTTTGGTGCTTGGCCCCTAATAATAATAATAATAATAAATCTTACCTGTATTTTGCCCAGCACTCCTGTGCTGTCCATTCTGCTTGCTACATTCACTGTGTTGCCCCAGATGTCATACTGGGGCTTCTGAGCTCCAATCACCCCAGCTATCACGGGTCCATGATTAATACCTGCAGATGGTGATATACAGGTTATTGTAATATGCCAAATTTCATGTATTGCTGTCCAATTGAAATTAAGATACAGTATTATTATATAAAAAATAAAATCTTTATTCGAAGGGTAGAGGTGGACCACCAAAATTTTACAAGAATTAAAAGAAAATGATTTTAGATTAATAAAAGTACACAGAGTCAAATAAATAAATAAATAATTAGGATGCAAACTGCAGCTGATTCACATGAAAGATTTGTAAAATTTCACAGATGACTGATTGCACACATTTCTGATACCTGTATATATTCTGGTCCTGGTGTGGCATTAAGCCCAGTGGCTGCCATATATGTGCTTCCAATGGTCTTTATCTTCTCCACTCCACTAAACTTTGGCTTAGAGAGCAACTACACAGGAAAGACAACATAACCATAGCAAAGTTAACATCAAACAACCATCAAAACTGCTTTGTGAAAAAGGATTGCACCATGGTAATAACATTTATTTTGGACATAATAAGATGAATTTCATGGGCTAATACAATTCCATAGCAAGCAAGCAGAATTTGCACACTACAGTAAGTTCAAAGTACACTTCAATATGAAAAAAGTTAAAGGGTAAAAAAGGAAACAACTTTTTTTTTTCTACAAAGTACCCAAAGAAGCAATACGTTACCTCATCAAAGTCTGCAATGATTTCGTTGAGTAGTCTGAGGCACTCAAGTCCCTCCTTGTTTACATCTGATTCTGTGTAGAACTCTTTGAAGTCCGGAATAGAAGCAAACATCACACACACCAGGTCATATGATTGGTGATACAGATCCTGTCATTCACAGAGAAAAGGAAACTCAGCCATGCATATCCAAGGACTGACTTTCGAACAGACAGCATTATTTAAAAGTCATAATCTCAAAAGATTTTTTTTTTCAAAGCTATAATTTAAACAGAAGAAAACAACAACTGTCAGTTGTCAAGCACTTCCAAGCATCTCAATTCAAGTTATTGCTAGATGTGCTTTTAATCTCATTACCTATAGTCCTTCAAGTACAAAAAGTTTGTCTGTGCTGATTAAGTATATACTTTTAAGTATGATGTAAGCCAGTATGAAGGTATGAAGACAAAATTTGTAGTGCAAGAGTCTCTTTTCTGAATATATACCACAGTATTGTGGTTACTTTGAAGTATGGAAGCTCATACTATTTTAACCATGTGAATTTGGGGTGCATACAAATTGCAGTATAGGCTAGATCTTTAGTTGGTCTTTCTATCTACATTCTTACCTCGTTCTTCCAGTTCCTGGCCAGAAAGTGCTCTGCTACATGGGCTGGCAGAACGTTTTCCAGCAGAACACGATTAAGATTCTCCATGGTTTCTATCTCCTCACATTCTTTCTTGAACTTGTTCTTCCACAGGAAATCCAACCTACAGTAATATTCATTCTGTTACAAGAGGACACAGAGGTAAAGAGACTGGAGGTCACAGCGCTATTTCAGTTATAATCACCATACAGAGCAAATCTATAAATCTATTATAATCTATAAATGAGCAACTGTAATTTGGCTTTAAAAAGATATCTCACCTGTCTAGCTAGAACAAGCAGGGTGATGAAGAATATAAAGAGAGACACAGAGCCCATAGTTTTCAAGTCTTTTAGAACTCCTGGCCTTGTTTTGATGAGAGACAGAGAGAGATATAAGACTTGTCAGCATCACTACATAAGTTTGTAACAAATCATGTCATCTGTACGCAGGATGGCTAGCAGACCATGTCCACCCCAGCTGTCAATTAGCAGGAAGTGACTGTGCTGGTTCAGTGATTTATTTTCAACATCCAACTCTGATTTCTAGAACAAAATCTGTAATCTTCAGGAAACTGTTGTGCATGAAGCGAATCCAAATGTTCTTTTGTTGTGCTAGTTTTGGGATAAATGAGCCAAACATAGCAAGAGTTTTTGTATTATTGTATTTATTGTTTGACACTAAATATCCTGTCATCATATAAATATGCACATGGTTACCTTTGATTACCATATGAAAGCAGATTTGACTAGCTACACCATACGTTTACTGTTAATTTACTTATTTTGTATTTTTTGCATTTTGTATTGTTTTTGTTTTTTAGATTTAATGTTGAAGTTGATACAATATATGGCCAGAAGTATGTAGACACTCACTTCTGTTTATAGGGGCCATTAAATCCAGTGATGTACTTTGCACATTGTGGCAACAGTTTGTGGAGAGCTGTTTTCTGTTCCAGCATGATAATGACCACACAAAGTACGATCCTAAAGAAATGGTTCACCGAGTCTGGTGTGGACATGACTAACTTAAAAAAATAAATAAATAAAAAAAAACATTTAAATGCTGACTGCAAAATGTTTTTGTCCGAAAATCTATGCAGCCATGTTTCAGTTGCCTTACCAGAGGAATGGAAGTTGTTATATTTAGAAGTACAGGAAGGACAAACTTTCTATTAATGTCAATGCCCAACCACATATTAGTGCATTGCTCCCTACATAATTCTGACCATATAGTGTAGATAACAAGTTCTCACCTATCCAGGATCTCGGTTTTGTAGAGGAATTTACTGTACTCATCCAGCAGAAATGCGTGTGTTTGAAGTATGATGACGCTGTAGAGCACCACGGCTGTTAGCATGATGAGCATCTTCAGCTCATAGTTGATCCTCAGAAACACTGAGCAGGAAATCAGGCCCAGAATACAGCTATAGATAAAATACTAATGGCAGAAAAACACGGAAATCATAAATATTGTACTGTGACTGAGAAAACTCCACTTATGTTCTTACTAAACAAACTATAATTGAATCAATGGTGATAAGACATACATGGATCAAAAACAATATCAGTCAGATATTCTATATCTACTAAAAAGCTATGCAACTTGTTAAACTTTGAATTGTGTTCAATGACTTTTCTTCAGGCTGAACTGCATTTATCTGGCAAATTTTTATTTCTGTATGTATTACCACTAAAACATCTTTCCAAAGGTTATGAAACAAAATTAAAGGAGAAAAAGCAAGATAATGTTGCACATTGCAAATATTTCAGCATTGTGTAATTAGGTAATTAAATCCCTATTTGAAAAACTGTATTAAGCTGCATAAATCATGAAATCATAATCCTATAACAACAACATCCGTGTTGATAAAGAGTTCAGATGTGCAAAATGACCATCACACTGAATAGTTTTTCATGAAGTTAGAAAAAATAGCTATTGATAAATTGATGCTATATTGTATAATGCATTGAGTATATGTTCAAGAAAACTCTTCGCCTGAAATGCATTTGTTAACAGTAATTCCACATAGGTTCCAATAGTATTTTTTTTTTTATATATTAAAATATGAACTACCTCATTGCACAAAATCACAAATGAGTCCTTTGTAGTTAATTACTTGCTATTATTATTTCAGCAGAAAATGAAGCATCCCATTTTCAGCATACTGTATTTTAAATATAATTTTGTAAATATTATAATTTACACAATTTACACAGCAAGAAATTTGCTAGAAATAAAAGCAGTTGAAAGTGAGAGGACATTTCTGTTTTTGCTGTTTCTAATGAATGCTATTTCATGTTACGTATAATGCTGGTCAAAAGTCAAAGAAAGGACACATACTATTTCCACATTTAATCTTCACATATACAGTATGAAGGTCCATCTGAAGAGCTTTTTGATTTTATAAAAAATAGCAAAAAAACATTCAATTTATAAAATAAATTATGTTTTTCTAGACCTATTCAGTCTTCATTGGACTCAGTGTGCAGCCAGCTACCTTTTCTGTTTATAAAAAAGACAAACAGCAATATAGTTAACTCACAGGAAGGTAGAATGTGTTATTGTCCAGGTAAGATATAGGATGTCCATCAGGCTGAAGAAGTGTCTCATTTGATGCATTATAAACAGCATCTGTGGATGTTAGGTTGTCCTCTACAAAGAACTGCAAGAGATGAATAAAATGTTTTTTGTTTTTTTTAAGAAATGCACAGAGAGAGAGAGAGAGAGAGAGAGAGAGAGAGAGAGAGAGAGAGAGAGAGAGAGAGATATTTGTTCAAGCAGATGATCATGCAATAGATTATGCAATTAAGTTACATCACAATGACATTCTATTCTTTAAATTATTTATTTTATTTATTTATTTAGTCATTTAGCAGATGCTTTTATCCAAAGCGACTTACAAATGAGGACAATAAAAGCAGTCAAAACTAACAAAAGAGCAACAATATATAAGTGCAAATGACAAGTCTCGGTTAGCCTAACGCAGTACACGTAGCAAGGTGTGTGTGTATATATATATATATATATATATATATATATATATAGTTTAGAGACTTCTGCCTCAGAGAGTGGAGAAAAGGATGAAAACGAGTGTATGTTTGCTGGTAAGATGAGTTTGACAGTTTGTGGTGTTGCAAATTGTGCACCGAGGTTTGTAATTTTATGAATGAAGAATGTGGCAAAGTCGTCAGCTGTTAGAGTTGATGAAGGAGGGGGAGGAGGAGGACAAAGGAGGGAGGAAAATGTTTTAAAGAGCATGCGAGAGTTAGGCGAATTGTTAATTTTGTTGTGATAGTATGTCCTTTTAGCAGTGGAGGCATTAGCAGAGAATGAAGAGAGAAGTGATCGATATACATTAAGGTCAGTAGGATTTTGTGATTTGCGCCATACTCTTTCTGCAGCTCTGAGCTTAGAACGATACTCACAAATTATATGTACACTGTATGTACAATTCTCACACGGTTGGTGAGAATCCTAATTAGATTTTTTTTTTTTTTTAAATGACAGAAAAATATAAGATTGAAATCGACAAATTTGTTTCATGTTTGTTTACAAACAGTGACATATGCCACAAGTGGAATGGCCAAATCTGAAGGCCAAACAGCCCTCTGCAGCCAGGGCACAGATGGACACAAATCTCTGCCAAGAAACTCTGCAATAACGCATGTCAGACTACTGTGGTCAAGGCCCGTAATGTAATGTGTGTGTGATCCAATTAGGGAACATCTCAGTGTCTTATTTGTATGACCATAAGCACAAAGGTTTTCATATTAAATGTCCTGGATCATTGTGGTTGACATACCATATTGAAGATGGCCATGATCAGGATGAGGACTGTGGTTGCCATGGTGATGGTGATGCGTGGCCAGGGCTTGTTAGCGATGAATTCTGAGGATCTAAGGATCCAGAGCCAAGATGTGGAGGCCGTCTTATCGCAATGCTATTGTTGGTCAACATGAATAAAAAAAATTAAAAAAATTAAAAAATGCAGATAAAATCAGTAAAATCTTTTATTAATAGAATTAAAAAGATGAACAGAAATTGTCTCTAAACTAATTTGTCTTCAGTATAATTTATTATAATAAAATCATATATTAAATATGCAATAGACAGGGGTGCACATAAGTGGCAAGCAGGTGCGCATGCGCGACCAAAATAAAAAATGCACTGTGTAAATAAGTTCTGACAGTGCATTTGCGTACAGACATGGTTGACAGCTGTTAATGCACAATTACCATTTTAGATCGACAAACTGTAATACTGTACAAGATTTCTATTCAAACTGAATAGATAAATTAATCTAGGCTACCCGCTGCCGTTTTCAAAGCACAATGCAAAACTGTGACATTTCATTCACTGATGCTCTTCAGTCGGCAGCGCTAAACGCGGAAGCGCATATACTTACTTGCCGGCAAACCGCCAAAATAAAAGCCTTCTGGTTTGAAGTTTGAAAATGATGAAACTTCATCTTTAAAAAAGAAGTAAATATTAGCATTTTATTTTTAAGTTTACTATAAAATTGTTGTATTTGTATTTAATACTCCCATTTTATTTTAAAATATAATAGTATTATGACACTTTATTTAATCATTAAAAAAAAAAACGAAATAAAATGCAACAATATTATCACTACGATTAATACATTTTTTTATAGTTGTATTTAATGGGTTACACTATGTGCAGTGTGAGGACCAAACCAAATCTCCAGGTTCTCTTATGAGAACCAGGCTGAAAAACGTATGTGCACCCCTGGCAATAGAACATATATTACATTAGTGTAATGCTGAATGATGTGGTTGGTTGGATGAATTGTATTGTGATATGCCTTGGGAACTCTGCATAACACATTCTCATCAGACTGTCATCACAAGGTCATGGTGGAGAACAAACACATGATTCACTTCATTTCACGCACCAGTTTTCTTTTCTTGTACATTTGGGAAATCTTACTGTGGTCGATGCTTTCGAAAATAATAAATAAAGCTACCTAAGAGCTGAGTCAAAATAACTATCACAGTATTAAACAAGCATAAGACCTTCCAACATTTACACAATGAACATGACCTTAGCACCAACCTGAAAACATCAATTCTAAACTCTGTTATAATTTGTTACTTCTTTATACTGTAAGAACAAAGATCAATTAGATTTTAATGGAAGATTGTCAGTGATTATGTATAATATATAAATCATGATATATTGTTAGTGATTATGTATAATATATAATCATGATATATATCTAGATTCTTTCATCTAGTCCTTGCACTCTCAACAGATGAGGAATTTAGCAGTGACATATATTTGCGTTCTACACCAGTTATTCTCAACTGGTGGGTTGTGACAGCATGTTGTGGACGTATTGGCAGTAGCAAGTCTCGGTACTTGCTCTGCAGCAGCGTAGCAGATCTATTCCGTCTAGACCAAATGCATTAACATTGTCATGTACATTACCATGCCAATCCCTCCAAGGGTTGTCATGACAGAAATGTATTTATCAAGTTTTAAAAGGGAGGAGAAAATGCTTCCCATATTTTTTCTTCTTCACTAAAGGCAGTAACTCCAAAAAATAAAAAATAAAATAAAAATTAAGGCAAAAGAAAATACAATCCATTAAACTACATTAATCGCCGTTTACATTTTTGTCCAAAGTAAAATAGGGTCAAAACCACTGCTCTACCCTTGTTGTGAAAAAGAAGTGTTTAATTGTGCTGAATCTACATGCACTTGGTTTTGTCATGGCCATGACATATAAACCTGTGGGTTAATATGTCATGAAAATATGTTGTGGCCACAAGATATTAAATTGCGGAAATGTCATAATATGTTGAGGCCATGACATACAGTATTAACTAGTGGCGGCCATGAGATCATTTTGTCGAGGTAAAGGCATCCTTATGTCATGGCCACACAATGTACAGTATAGACAGGATTCAAATGAAGTTTATTGCCAATAAATGTCAAAAGAATACGTACATAAAATAATATAAGCGTACAAGAAAACATTTTCATCCATCCCATCCCACTTTTTAAATCCATTCACTGATTGTTTCTTTTTTATTTAATATGTGTATATTATTATAATATTATTATTAAGTTCATTGTTATGTCCCCTTCATGTTATATATCTCTTTATTTAATTAATGTTCTGTATTATTATATTACTTAAAGTAGCTACCATATGTTTTGTAAATACTGTAAATGCCCAACAATCATGCTTATAAAGTAAATACTGTATTTCTATAGGCGTATAGTCTGTGCCAGTATGTAACGATAAATAAGTGTCTATTTTCTTTCAAATCTCATCCCAAAGTCTTTTAAATTCATTCACTGGTATTTACTGTTTTTTTTTTTTTTGTGTATATATTTATTTTATTTTTTCGCTTAATTTCATGTATCTCTTTACCCAGTTAACATTCTGTATTACATATTCGGCCTGCTTACAGTACCATATAGCCATATGTTTTGTAAATACAGCAAATGCTTATCAGTCATACCAGTCAAGTTCCTATAAGACTATTTCTGTGGACCTTAGGGTCGAAACGTTGTGTTTATTTTAATATATTGATCTTTGGGAGCAGCAGTGGCAGTGTGCCGATTTTTGTTTACTTATAGTGAAGCACTTCATTTGATCAAGCACCTGCCTAAAGTTTCTGTATGTGTGCATATTATATATTTTTTCTTCCAAAATAACAAATGGCAATGTAATGTAATGTACCAAACTTCAAGTAGGAATTGTCTTGTTTGAAATGAATGATTGGCTTTTGCTAAAATAGTGTTAAATTATTTTGAAAGTAAACACTAGATTCCATTGGCACTTACCAAAAAATGTCCAATGAAGCAAATGAGCAGAACCACAGACAGAATTAAGAAAGACATTCCAAATGATATTCCCAATATTGCAGTTCTGAAATAGACAGAAAGCACATGGTGTCTTAAATCACAAACGGAAGAAAGTGAGAACAGGTGTTCTCGCTCACAAATTCATCCTGACATCTCCAGTTCACAACAGTGAAGACTTAAATAGAGACCTTTTGTAATAGAAATAAACATAAGTCAGTAGAAGTTAAGAATTCTATGTTAAAATATTTCTATTTGGATACAGATTGCATTGTTTAAATCCTTCTATTACATTTCTTGTGTTGTCATGCACTGTGAAACAGGTACAGAAGATGAACAAACTTACTTTGGCAGAACCAGGATCTGCACAATGAAAATGCAGATGAATATCAAGCAGGCACAGGTGACATAATATTTGAAGGCCGGCAGGGTCGTTGCTCTATACTGCAGGGAAAGGACATACTGTTCTCATACAGGATCTAACAATTTGGTCTTTTTTTTATTTAGTTGACTGATTCGTCTTGTCTTATCGTGGGTGACAACAAACAGGTTTATATTTCAATTATTGATATGGTGACATATTATTAATAAACTATGGATGACTCTAGTTCAAATTAACATTAGCTTACAAAGTATCAGTGCTTACCTCTTTTTCCAATGTTTTATTGTGGAAAAACAAAGATATTCTCTGAATGTCCTCTGATTTGAGCCATTGTCTATGGAAAAAAAGATACGGATAGATAAAACCAACCAACACAGAACTGGAACATTAAACATAATGGGCAAATAAAGCAGAGATATGAGGTGACCTACTTTTGAGAACTGATCCCATCAAAAGTTCGAATCATCCTCTCATTGAGTTCCTCCTCAAAACGTTTCTTCTGAGATTTTATTCTGAGGAGTACATTGACATATTAATGACTCTATCTAGAAGGCTCTTTGGCATACATTCATAAACATGAAATATCTTTACCATTTCAATTCATTCTATACATATTCATCCTACTGTATGTATTTAAATACTATGTTTATTACAAAAAGGTCAAAACTAGGATCACTAGGATTTAGAACAGATGAAATACGTCAACTACTGTAACATAACTTCCCTTTAGTATGCTCAATGTTACTGCTGGAAAAAAAATATACAGAAGTTAAATCACCTCTCTGAACGCCTCTGAAAGTGGTACTGGCCCATGGGCACATCCTGTTAATAAGAAAAGAGTAGGTGGTGAGTAATTTTAGCAGCAGAGACATCTAAAAAAAAAGTCACAAGAACAAAAGCTGTTCATATATGTTTTTGTAATATTTTTTAAAATACATTTATATTTATTTATATGATATCAACCTGTATTGACAGGTTTTAGGATGGATATACATGTACATGACATACAGTGGAGATCAAAATTATAGAACAACCTACAATTTCCTAAATTTCAAGGTCACTGCTAAGTCCTGTTTGAAGTTATCCTAACAGGAGTAGAAGGACAGTTTTTTTAATTGAAATTCTCTGGTTATTTTGTACAAATATTAGTAGAACAGTGGAATACCCACAGCTAATATTCCTATTACATAAAGAATAACAATATTTCTGCAAAGTATTTATAGATTGCTCTCTAATTTTGATCTCCACTGTATGTCCAAAAATGTATGACACAAACATAAACACATTTGTATGGGCTATATATATATATAATGTTAATATATAACATTTTTCTAATTTCTAATAGGTTTCATATGTTTTTACTTCATGTGACAATCTATTTCATATATGGAAGCGTAATATATGTACATATATTACATTTGCATATGGGACTCGTGGGTCTTGAACTGGAAATGGATGAAACTAACTATATAAGTACATCGCTACAATAGTACTTTTATTTATTTATTTTTGTTATTAACATTAAAGGCTGATTTACCTCACTTGTATATTAATTTTACCAAGTGTTTACCAAGAAGGAATCTTCTGCTGCTATTTATTAATCCTCAAAAGTGTCAATTGGTCATTTGTAATATATTTTTAATATTAATTTAAGGACATTTTTATTTACTTTTGTACATTAAGCAGTTTAACTTCTCCACTCTAAAATCTAGGCCATGAAAAAAAAGGAGAAAAAAAAAGAGAGGACAGTTGAGAACCACTATTGTAGAGTTCATGGTGTCTCATGGGAAAGCTCACAGCAGTGTTGATTTTTCCGTTCTCATTGGTCATGCTGTCTCTGTGGTGAAGGTTGGCGAAAGGCTTGGCTGCACCCCATGATTCCAGGTATCTGGTCATCCTCACTGAAGCTCTCATTTTAGCCCCATCCATGGTGTGTCTAGGTCTGTAGTGATGCTGAGGACTTTTTCTCTCTGCCTAAAAAAAAAAAAAGTCCGCAGTCTAGACAAACTTCACTTAACCTACTCAGCTGCATTTTGTAAGTACTTTGGACAACTTAGCAACATGATATATATTGCCACAAGATTTTATAATGACAGCAGCATCGGCAATAATGGCTAGGTTTTGAAAGAATGCTTTAGACTTGAAAGAAACAACAGCGACTGTTTATTTGTTCTTCATACCTTTGGGTTGATCACTAAGTAGGTTACAGCTCCATGCTCTTTTAGATAAGGATCACGTTCCTGGCCATCTCCATCTTCAACCTTATATGCCCCATTCAAGTGCTCAAGAGTCACTGAGGTGATGTGGACTCGGCTATTCATCAAGAACTTGCAATTACTATCGTTTTTCTCAAAAGATTCTTAACAATTTCACATCTTCTACAAACTGAAAATGATTATGAATAGCTGTAATAAAAAAATTAAGCATACAATTAAATAAAAACCCCACAATCGCTTACCCAGGTACACCACCTGCTTCCATGTGATTGGCTAAAGTTACATCATGTGACCAGACATCATATTGCCATTTCTGGAGGCCAATCACACCACAGAGAACGTTTCCAGAGTGAACACCCACTCGCATGTTAATATCCACTACTGTGGCGTCTCGCACTTTCCTATAAAGAAAAGGAAGGAAATAACAACACATCCCATCACACATCAGAGCATCGATTTAACCTTATACCATAACACGATTAGAAACACATTTAGACGAGACATGGCTTTGACCTTTTAAAAGGCTTGACCTTTTGAATGTTGTTTTTGTCACTCCAATTCACAAGTTGCAAGAGATGCATCAGTGAGCATGGTGACCATGATCCTGATAAAAATTAATAATTTACTCATCCTGTTGCTCTAAACCCATGACTTTCTTTCTTCCTTAGAGCATAAAATAAGACACTTAACACAATGTCATAGCTGCTCTTTTCCATACAACGTATTTGAGCAGGATTTCGAGTTCCAAAAAAGCACGATAAAAGTAGCACCATAGCACAACAAAAGTAGGCCCTGTGTTTCTTATGCTATATTATGACTTCTGATGCCATACAATTGCATCATGTGGGGACAAAATTTACATTTACTCATATCTCTAATCTTTCTTTAGCACATTCTAAACTGCAGTTTTGTGATCAGTCACAAGTGATTTGTAAGTGGGATTTTAGTAGTTTAAGGCCTGGTTTCACAGACAGGGCTTAGACTAAACCAGGATTAGGCCATAGCTCAATTAAGACATTTAAGTTATTTTTTTAAATGTGCCTTATCAACTAAATGCGCCCCAGAGACAGATCCCCTGTGAAGACAACCATTGGCACAAGACCACCGGAAACAGACCCCTGCACCTGTGTTGCAGCCTGGAATTAAACCACACCATGCTCGTTTCGTCAGTCCAGGGGAGAACTGTCCCCCCGACTGAGCCTGGTCTCTCCCAAGGTTTTTTCTCCATTTCTGTCACCGATGTAGTTTTGGTTCCTTGCCACTGTTGCCTTTGGCTTGCTTAGTTGGGGACGCTTGACTGATTGCACAGACACTATTGGAAGAGAGCTGAACTGGGTGAGGACATCACTGAATCAACAATGAACTGACTTTAGCTGGACAAATGACTCAGTTTGTTAATGATGCAAGAAAACAATAACAATGTTCCTGTTTAACACTGTAAAGCTGCTTTGACACAGCCAGTATTGTATAAAGCGCTTTATAAATAAAGGTGACTTGACTTAGAAAAAACATTACTGGTGTGCATCTTGAGACAAAACAACGGCACTGATGTATATTTTAAGATCAGTCAGTGCAAGTTTCTTTCAGTTGAAACAGCTCAGACTTACATTTTAGTCTGGGACTAGGCTTAAGCCTTGTCTGTGAAACCGGGGGTATGAGTTACAACAGAGAGTAAGATCTATAGCGAAACTGATCTGAACTTAACAGATCCTGATCAATATGCAATATGATTTTATTTAAAAATGTTCTCAGCAGTGAGAACATTATTCAAAATTTCTACTTTTGGTTTCCAGTTTCCACAGTAAAAGGCTTTAGAAAAATTTACAATTTTCTCTTTTTTTTTTTTTATTCCATTTTTGTGTGAATTATTCATTTTATAAAATGGTGCTGATCTATAAAACATTTATTGGCACTTGGTTTAAAATGAAAACTCTAGTGTTTCTACACTGTGGCTTGAGTACTCAAAAAATACAATATAGCATTTAATTTTTTTTCAGTTGATTATACGTTATTATACGACACTGTGATTGCGGCGAGTTTCCTTGCAATCCTTTAACAGGAATTTACGGAATTTACACCAACACCACAATTTGCCAGCAACTACTAATAGAGAGATTTGATTCTTCCAGGCTTCTGCGGCTTCTGCAGAGATAAGAGAAAGACAGCTCTCTCGTCTAGACTCAGCACCAGTCATTTTCCACAGTCTGACCTCTGAGGCCTCCGACTCATTATTGGGATGGCCAGGTATCATGTCCTTCACAGCAGTACTGTAATCAGTAAATCAGTAATCAGCCCCTCTGCACGGAGGATTATAGGACTGGAATAGAAGCTTTGCTGCTGGACTGACTCTGCCTAAATTCTATCACAGAAACAGCAAGTGAGCAAACAGTTTGCTTAAATCCTGTCTGTTTATTGATTAATAAATGCTCTTAATTTTGTGCAAACTGAAGTTACATGTAAATAGAAACAGAATGACGTATGAATGAATTTACATTATATATTTTGTAATCTCCTGTGGTAATGTGCAATAAAGCCAGGTGTTCACAGTGTTGTTCTTTAGAGACAAAGCGTGAACAGGTCTGCAGAATATATACTAATTATGAACCTAGGACAGATGTTTTCAAGCTAATCAGAGGCAAAGAATCTTTCAGCTAAGATCTAAAAGAAACAACAGATGTACAAGCTCTTTGGAAATGTGCAGTTTGACAGATGTTTAGACTGGTGGTTCTCAATTGATTTTGCTGCAGAACCCAGATTGTAGACCCTAAGTACCAAAATTGTTTATTGTGG